CGCGCTCTTCCGGCGAGTGTGGAGTTGGGTAAAAGATTAATGACGTTACGGAAGAGAGGACTGGATGAGGCTGAAATTGGATTACTGATGCTTCATAGAATGAACTGAACTCAGCCGAGAGAAGGAAGTTGCCCGAGAGGTCGCTGAATCCCCTTTCACTTGTCTTCTTTGGCGTTGAACTCAATCATCATCTTCGGAATTTCCGATCGAATTTATCTTCCGTTTCTCGACGAAGGCGCCTCGGACAGGTCTCCCGGCGCCCCAGCCCAGTTCGCGACGGTGGCGGCGGCGGCGGCGGCGGCGGCGAGGGAGGCGGCGGAGACAGCGACGAAGGGTGTGAACGGCACGCTCGAAGCCACAATAAAGCCGACGCGTAACACACAAAGAAACGAAATAAGGGGCCTGACAAACGACCCACGTTTCCGCTACACTTCACCCCACCTGGCTATAGAGGTCCGGGCCATCTGCATGGCGCGCCGGGAGGGTAACAGCGCCTAAGCCGTCCATTTAAAAACGCTCTTGTATGGGCGCGTCAGCAAACCATAACAACTTTTTACGGTTTAAGTCAAGTTTTAATAGTGAATCGTAATGAGATGAAATAAGCATATGTTTACCTTATGCAGTATTCGAAAAATTACGATGTGCTCACGTCCTTTACGAGTTCGCTCTGCGTTTTGAATACGCATATCATAACACTGGACATTGATGGGAAGAATGCTTTTTGTTTTGTGAGTCGCCGTGAAGCACCAACGAATGGCAAACCAAAGTTACGTTGGTGTTGTAGAAACAATAAGTGTCAACGTGTTCGACCGCTAGTATCTGAACTTCTTCCAATAACGACACTTCTTTCGACAACTACAAAACTACAAAGAGCGGACTCGAGCCGCCTACGAACCGCTTAGTAGCGTCAGGGTCGTAGAGCCGAACAAATCGAAGATGTTACTCCCATTGTGAAAAGAGGGCCATTTGTAAATGTTAAGAGTTTTTGGGATATTGTTGTACTACATCGGCTTCTCAGAAGATTCCTATGCAAAAGACGACAAACAAAGTGATTTCAATAACAAAAGAGATCAATAACCTACTCGTGAAATTGCCTCTAATGGCTGCATTGTTCCACCGATTGTAATCTTAAAGCGACCACACCAAGATGACGTAAACGTCCTAACCTCCACGCAGTCCCGACTGATTATCTCACACAAAATGAGCACGGTGCTCTACGGTTTGACTTAATGAGGGGCGGTACCGAATAGGGCGGCGACGAATACGACCGCAGCGCAGCGCAGCTCACGGCGCGGGGCGCGCTTGACTTGGGTTCGACGCCGCGCGATATTCTACGTTACAGCACGCTGGGGTACAGTTCCCTCCAACTGAAAGCCGGGACGGTTCGACGTCGCCCTAAGCTCGCCAATGCGTGATAAAGCACAAGAGAGAGGAGGGAGCGGCGTCAAGGAAAAGAAACGAGGCAGAGAGAAAAGAGAGAGCAGAAGCTGTGAGAAGGAACAATACAGTAGTGGAGGAAATTTGAAGAGGCACGGGGAAGCGCCAGGAATAGGTACGATATGTACATTTCTAAAAAAATGCAGAGGACATTATGAAAACAAAGTCAATAGACGACAAAGAGGAAAACTGCAAAAAAGAGGTATGATTAAACCGGTGTATATACCTCGTAGACAAGCAAAAATTTAGAAAATAAAAAAATTAGTAAATATGGTAGAAATGGATAAATATAATTTTGCAGAAAAAGGCTCAGAAACAGCCTAAAAGGTCCATATATATATATATATATATATATATATATATATATATATATAATACATGAATGAAAAAACTATATAATGGCTGAAAATAGTTCAGACACAATTTAAAGAAGTTTCCTACGTAAATATGAGGAAGAAAATTCCAGGATGAGAACTAGATATAAAACCAAGCATACCAGGAGATCAGGAGGAAAGACGCGCTGGCGGAAATGACGGGAATGCTGTGGAATGACTGAGCCGCAGCAATGCCGCGCGGAGCGACTCACCGCAGGCAAGTCCGACTGTTGGTCGAAAGAGCACGATGCCAGGCCGCGGAGAGACGCGATGCGTGAAGTAGTGTTACGGTTCGGTACAGTTTAGTACAAGGCATAAATTTTAAATCGACGTCCGACTAGAAAATGAGCCAAGTGGTTCTTGATAGCTTCGCAAAAAAAAAAAAAGTTTAGTTTAAACACTCGTCAGATGACTTACGGTGATCATAATCCACGGTCTGCTGAATCGGTTGGAGATCGCTGCTGATTCCAATTCACCCTTCCACGAACATCAACATTTGGAAGGCAGGAAATACAGGAATGCAGTCGCATTTACGAGAAACCGTGGAAAAGAACGGCCGCTTTCTGGACGTGGCGTAGAACAGCTTCGAAATAGCCGGTCGTTAAGAAATACAACATTCTACTTCTTACGAATTTTATAGGAAGGAGTGATACATGACGTTTAACATACCGGTTACAACTCGTAATACTTCATAAAGCTCATTTCTAAATCGTCCCTTACACGTCTTGGCAAGTATAAACGCCAAGCCATTTCTCCACAAGAAACAGACCCCCGATCGACGATCATACGGCTAATTTGGAAAGCAAACATTTTCAAAAGAATAAAGGCCAGGGAAGGACGCCTGGTCTCCCGTCTGTCTGCCTGTTTGCTTCGGCCGCGCCGTCGGGCCCGGGGCGGCCTGGCCCGCCGCCCACCCGCTGTTCGCCTCCCCCTCGCTCCGCTCCCCTTTCGGCGCCCCCGCCGCTCGCGGGGCGGAGCGGGAGCCCCATATTGCTCCAAAGATTTCGGGAACGGGATGGATGAAGAGCTGAAATGAAAGGAGGTAAAGGCGGCCTTTCGGGCGTTTGAAACTGAACGGATGTGCCATGGAAAAGATTTCAAACAAGAATTCAACTATACACACAATGCAGGCCTATTAAGCGGTCCGCTTAGTGGGGCCGTGGCCCACGCCGCACAGACGGCAGGAAACGGAGGGACGTGCCGCGGCTCGCGGAGAGGTGGGGTGGGATGGGAAGAGGCGAGGCAGCATGGCGTGGCGGTTCGGGGCGGGGTGATTTGGTGTAGTACAGTGTGATGTGTGTAGTGAGTTGTGTTTAGTAGTGTAGAGTAGTGCGTAGGCGGAATGGTGAAGCGGGTAGGTGTAGTGTGTTGCTGGGGTTGCGTGCAGGAGTCGTGAGGAGTACTGTGTTGTACTGTGTAGTTGCAGTGTAGTGTAGGGTAGTGTTATCTAGTGTGTAGCGTAGTAGGATGTGGTTTAATGCTACAAAAAGTGGTATGGTTTAAAACTTTGGTGTCGCATGGAACGGTGTAATGTGGTATGGTCTGGGGAGGAGTGCATGAGGTCGGTGGCCAACGGGGCGGTATGGCTCTGCCTGGCGCACAGGAGTCAGCCGTGGGGCGTGCTTTGCGCACAGGCAAACGGTTTATGGGGCGGCGGGGCAGGAGTGAAATGTGTAAGGGGGGACGGGAAGGCACGGGCAGGGCCGGTACGCGCCGGAGATACATGGTAGGTGTAAAACGGGAAATGAGCAATTTAGCGCCGAGCCGTTTTTCCTTTTTATCTTCAGCTTCGCACTAGCGATAGTAAAGTCCTGAACGGCTCTCATAGTAAACGTTCGGCCGGTTCAAACGACCCTGGTCATCCACCGGAGACTCCGAAAAGATGTTTACCAGGCGCCACCGGGGACGATCCTCTCGAAACATCCTCTCTCCTCCCCCTCTCATCCATTCGACCTCATTACGAAATTGAACCTGTTTTCGCTCGTTTCGCGAGAGCACAACATCGCGTCATCTCAAAATATAATATCAGGGAAGAGAAATATTTGGATCGCTTTTACGGTCACAACAAACTTTGTTTAGCCCAAAAATAACATAAAAATCACTGAGCAACCTAGAAAAAGCCCCTCTGAACGAAACAGGGGCCGGTACCTTCCTACCGCCCAGGGCGAGGCGGCCGCGGAGGGAAGGTAACAGAAGGAGGCGCGCTCCCTCGACTTCAGGTAGTATTCACATATTGAACCGCGGGGGAACGGGCGAGGACATATATTGCACGAATTTCAGAGACCATTTAACCTCATTAAATCACTAGGGGGTGCGAGTCGGCAAGGCACGAGCGAGGAACAAAGCACAATATAAACCCTCATAAATATGCTGCTAAACTCTCAGAGAGCGCATAGCTTCGCCGCGCGGTCCTGTACAGAAACGCGACTGTGTGTAGTTCGTTCTCATCTGCCACCGGCTCAGCCCACAACCGGCGCCCATGAGTCTTGCAAACGGATGTCGCGCGTCGTTAAGAGCGCGCAGACCTAATTCTGAAATACGCCTCCTTAGTAGAGGTGTGCAAATTGGCTTTCCGACTCACTCGCTCAAAACTACCATGGGGAGGCATTCCAGAGCACACTCTCGGTAATTTAAAACGCTATAAAGGCGGGCGCATGCAGCTGCAACACTTAGGAACCTCGAGATAACCGATCAAATCAATCCGCAAGAAACTGTAACACACTTGCTTTGATATGTTGTAACCTGATGTTATTTGAAAACTTACATGAATAAAAAAATACGTGGATTCTTTCATACAGATATACAAAACACTTTCGTATTAAATTTCATAAGTTTCTTTCGCCTTGTTTTCATAAACATATATATTGAGGCAATGGTTGAATTCAGTAATTCAATTCTCAAGAAATTGCTCCGAAAATTGTAATAACTGCCTTAAAATAATCGTAGCATTTAAACAACGTGAAGTGGTATTCTCCAAAGATTCCAGGTCCTCAAGAAATGCTGAGCCATAAGCACGGCTGTGTCGGCCGAGCCTCGAGTTTTCGTTGCCGCGCGAACGTCGCGAAGCCCCCCTTGAGCCGCGCGCCAGAGAACTCTCCTGCACTCGGGGCGCAGCCGACCGCCGGCGCTCGCGAGTATCGCAGAGTGCCACGCCGACGCAGCTCCAAAACACAACTCGTCGGTGCTTACCTTGCTCCGCCGAGACACGCGACCACAGCGCTGCGCTGGCGAGTAGCAGGAGCAGCAGCGTTCGCAACTGGTCTCCCATCGTCCAACCGCAGCCCACGTCTTAGAGCATATTCGAAGCCTCCCGTCCTACGACATTGGCTCCTTTGTCCTGAAACAAAAAAAAAAGATGCACGGTCACAACGCAAGACAATGCAAGGCGTCAGCACTTAGCATTCAAACACCGGGCCTTGACTTTATCACAAATTCGAACACAAGCAACAATCAACAATGCGACACAAATCGTCTCACCCATCGTCACGGCGAGAGACACACTGCACACTAAGACGAAAGTATTCGGACTTCAAATTGGGATTTTGAGGTACTAACGGTACCGCTGCTTGGGTTTCCTTGTGATGATCAATGCGACCCTCGGCGAATTATGATGATAATCATCATAGGCTAACTCTTGGATCTATTTCCTACTTTAAACCCTCAATTACCGATCTGACGTAATACACAAACCTGGAATGTAATTGCAGTAATGTATTGTATGAATGTATTCACAATGCTTACAACTCACATACAACTGCCACAATTTACAAGTTTTCTTCAAAAGCATTCATGAACAGCAGAGTGATATTACCTATCGCAAAAGAAAACAAACAATAATATAAACAACACTTCTAAAGATCGTATCTGATAGGAAATCACACACTAAACGCTACTCAGCAAGTTTATGGTCGTGTGTGAAGCACGGTACTTTATCATGCTTCGAGGGGCGATTAAAATACCGCTTCGTTAAAGTCATTCCAATAAGGTCCGTGAGCCACGCATTTCCCTGCGTTCGTCCACGCAGCGACCGAAAATTGAAAACAGGCACGCTCGCCGGCCGGCCGCCCGGCACGCCCCCGGGAGGCCCCGGCACGCGGGCCCACGCCGCAGCTAACCGGCCACCCGGCACTCGCCGGGGTTTATCAACACGGCGCCCGCGGCACGCGAGCGGAAGGGCCGGCGCGGGGGATGCGGCATAAAATCATCATGATGGCCGATGATGGGTGCGAGCGGCGCGTGAGCCACGCGTCGGACTCAGGGGCGCAACCGGGCATGCGCGCTGCCTGTCTGACGCCCGTCCGACCTCGCCTCGCCTCGCCACGCCACGCCACGCGCCGCCCACGCCCGCACCCAGGGCCCCTCCCGGCACAGAGGCACAGCTGCCACCCGGCGCCCCGCAGCCCATCTCGCCTCTCGTCGTCTGGCGGCTGTTGCTCTCGCCCGCCTGGCGCTGGCGTAAGGGGTACAGTGCACGCTTCGTCGTCGACCGTCCTCTACGACTTGGATGCCATGAAAACGAAAGGGGCTCTCCAGAGAATTCAACGACCATTTTCACCGGCCGCGAATTTCAGATTAACTGGTTAGGCAGGAGAGGTCCCAAACGGCCCGCGTCTCGCCTCTTAAAATGACAGTTTCGATTCAATTCATTGTAACCCACCGTCCGTCACTCACTGCCCGCCGCTCGTGCCATCCGTCTCGTCAACGTTTCTCTTAGCGTTCGCGTCCAGCCGGCTGGCAACTCTGCGGCGCAAGCTACTACCTACCGTGACCCTCCGCCCTTGGCGCGCACGAGGCCGCCACTCCCTCCCGCCGCCGCGCCGCGCCGCGCCGCTTGGCGTACAGCGAACGCCCTTCACGGCCGCCGCCGGCCGCCCACGCGCTGCTCTCGCTCCGGCCGAACGCTCTGTCGTGGCGCTGTGCCGCGGGGCTCCCTCCTCCACCCCCTCCCCGGTCGCTCGCTCCGCCCCGCCCCGCCCCTCCTCTCTCCTACCCACCGCGCTCACCGCACACCGGCGTGACCCCCGCTAAATGCAAGTGAGACCCGTCGCCGCACTCCTCCCGGAGATTGTCTCCTGCAAGTATGCGCCCGATCTTCACCAGCCCTCAAGCCTTTGCGCGTCGCGCAAGCTGCTACGTTCGTCGAGCCTCTTTTACCTATCGTTTTAAGGCCACGGAATCGGCCACACTCGGCGTTTTTCCCCGTCTCTATGCTTCGCTCGGTTGCCGTGCATCACTCATCGTCCTTAATAGCTTGCATTTTATATCACCAAGGACAGCCAACCTACAGACATGAAAAGTACCCTTCAACACAGCGAAATCTGTATCTACTGTTTCTTTCATAGTAGTCGTGCGATCAAAAATATTTACTGCCTGTCCGCAATTCTTACCTTAATCAATTTCGCCAGAAAAAATCTTATAATTTTATTGAAAATGCACAGATGCTTTTAATCCTTCAAAAATTATATCGGCATCCACTCCAGCGCTCCAAGCACAGATCAGCCTCGACACCAACCCGACCTGACGTACACACCTGAGGCAGCCCGTCTCCCCAGTGTCAACAATCGCATTATCTCCCCGCGTTTAATCGCCGCGCGCTTGATAACCTCCCAGT